CCACGATTGTAATGTTTACGGGTGTCGCCTGATTCACACAAGTCCGAAGTACACTGAACCAATCTCTAGATTGAGAGGGCGTATACTATGGTGGACGTGGTGAAAGGCTCAGAAGCCTTCGCCACGTCGCGCGGATCCAGATGGATCAGCGCCGATCACCATGACGATCCAGATGTAGATACAAGATGTAGATTAACTACGTAGATAAGATAAGATAATGAACGATCCGTTACATTCTCCCCCTTCAGAACCTGTGCCAGGTTCTCATATGATACCAATGAGGAATAGGGAGTGCATGGAATAGCCATGTCCATATGAGAGAAGGGAAAAGCATAAGCGTCCGATAGGATGCGCGATGATGATGCGAGAGAGGAAATGTTGATGCGGCGGGCGTGATACGAAATTGCGGGTGGACAATGCGGTTGAGCGGGAGACGGCGTGCCGGCAGGGCGACGCAACACGACGAGGGTGAGACACCCGGCCCCACACGTATGGAGGTGGTCAGCATGCTCAGGCTGAGGGAGGTGACGGGCCCGGGGCATCGGTCGACAGTACTGTACCACTGGGCCCCGGCTCATCAGCCTGGTCCTCGCCAATCCCCTGCGCTTCTCCCATGGTTTCGTCGACGTCGACGCCCTCGATTACGAGGGGGAGAGGCACGGTCGCGTGACCAGTGGTCGCGTCTGGGTTTTCCTGCAGTGCCGCAACTTGCAACGCGAGTTCCGCGAGCACGGGCACGGCTGCGACTTCGGCCATGGTGCGCGGCCATTGGAGAAAGGCCTCCGCTGAGTTGGGGTCGCGGCGCTCGTAGTACTGGCGCATGCGTACCGCCATTGGCTGCATAAGCGCAATGGAGGCCGCGCTGAGCCCGCAATGGGCGTACCAAGCCGCCAAGTCAAAAATCGACACGTTGGTAACCTGGCCCGGGTAGGGGAGCAGTCGCTCCACCGTACCTTCGGGGTAGTGGCCCTCGTCGACGATTCGTTGATAGAGGCCGGGGATCGAGAAGAGTTGGGCGGTGACCTCCAGGAACCGCGCGCGCTCGGCTGACTGCTGGGCGCCCTTGAGCTTGGGGATGAGAGCGCGCAGGAGGATGTGGCCCCGGGTGTGATCCCGGGTTGGTCTTCCCAGCTGAGATGGAATGGGGAGGTACACCAGCAGGGTGTCGGGGTACTGGTGCCAGTACTCCAACCACCTCTCCGGCGGGTCCGTCCGGCTCGGGTTCTGCATGCCCGGGTTCCTCTCGATGCGAGAGGGGTTCGAATGAACCGCTTCTCTCCCGAAGTCGCGAGCGCGACGGGCTTGCGATCGTGTCTCCGCCCGGTGCGGGTCCGACCAGCTCATCTTGAGCTGGTGGAGGTAGTTGAACGCGCCCAGGGCTCCGTTCGCGTCATATTGATGAAGGAGGTCACGTACACGATTGTACGCGCCGCCTCCTTGAGCCCTGGCTGACCGCACCAACTCCCAGTACTGGTGATGGTTCAGAGGGACGTAGTCCGACCAGGCATCAGCTGCCTGGACCGGCGTCGCCTCCGGCCACACAGACATGTGGGGCTGGCGCACACCTCCTGGTACGCGCGGAGGGTCCAGTCCGGCACTCGGGCCCAGCGCAGGAAGCGTCGGCGCAGGAGGCGGGGGTGCCGGTTGTCGAGGCGTGGTCCCCGTCACTTGGCTGATCAGCCGCTCCCGGGTCCGACACAGGACGGCACGGTTCGCATTATTGAACGCGCGCTGCTTGCCCTTCTTGACGTTGTAGCCCTCGGACTCGCTGTCGACGTCGTCGTCCTCCATATTGGAGTCGAACGCCGCCTCGGGGCCGAGGCATTGCGAGGTCGAGGATGAGCCTTGCGGAAAGTCGCTTGACGGAAAGGGGGGTGCGGGCGACGACAATGACGTCGTGTTCCCAAGCAGGTTCGATGGAACCGCTTGAGACGTGGATCGCGACATGCCCGATGGCCCCGGGCGCAACGGCTCGCCTCGCGGGGGGGCGTAGTAGCGGTCCCCGTACGGGAGTGGGGAGGGCCGGTTCGGCAATTGCTGGTGCGGAGGAGGACGAGGTGGTGCGGGCCGTGGTGGAGGTGAGCGATCTCGACGCCGAGGTCCCGGGGACAGGGATCGAGAGTGTCGATGACGACGCAACTCGTCTTCCAGTCGCCTCGCCCTATCCTCGTGGTGCTCACTGGCTTCCCAGGCTTCATTCACCCGGGCCTCCAGGTCGTCAATCTCACGACCCCGGTCCTCTGACTCGCGGCAGAGGAGCTCGTTCTCCTTCTTCAGCCGCTCGATCTCCTGTTGGAGTTCGGCCGGCGTCCCTCCCCCTTCCGAACCCTGCCATCGGCGGAAGTGGTCGTAGAGCCGCTCCTGAAGGGCGGCACGCGGCGTTCCATTGGCTTCCGCGAAGGACGCGTCCGTCCTCGCGGCGTCCTAGATGTGGTGCGCCCAGGTCGTACAGACCGGGCATCCTTCTCGGTGCACCAATGGTGCCATGTCGTCGCTCAGGACGATCCACTGCAACGTCGGCCTCGACATCAGCAGTGGCGGCATCCCCGGGGGCATGGATACGGAGGTCGGCGCTGGGGGGATGAATGGTTGGATGGGGCCCGCGTGCGCCGATTGCGGCGTGTAGCCCATGTACGAGGGTGTCAGCTGGTACCTCGGATTGAGGCCCATCGGCATGCCCATTGTCGCACTCGTGTTCCCCTGGAACATAGAGGGCTGCGCGATGTGGCCCTGATGCTGCCCGTACATCGACGACGACGCGTAAGGGCTCGCGTGCATGGGCGGAGAATGCGCGGCGAAGCCAGAGGCCATCGGTGGTCCGTGCTCCACTGGAGCCGGCATGGCGAAGTGCGGGTTGGCCTGTGGTAGCTGTTGCTGCTGTTGTTGTTGCTGTTGCTGACCGTCGAGGTCGACGGTCATGGGGGCGAGGTGCTGGTGCTGGGGCTGTTGAGCGTCCATGGTGGTGGTAGCATCGAGGGCGACGTTGAGCTGGGGGCGGGCGACGGCGGCGACCTTATGCCATCTTTTGACGGGCCATGAACTAGGGACGATCGAGATCGGATCAGATCGGCGCTCGTTCCGTCCGATCGGTATCGCGCCGTGTCACGATCACGTGATCGACGCGTCGCGTCATCCCGACTTCTTTGGCAGGGCGCGCCAGTGCTTGACGCCGTTCAGCGCCAAGTACTCGTCCACCGCTGCTAACTTACTGCATTCCG